TGTCGAAGAAGGTGTTGAGGACCGCTAATCTGTTGTCCGTGGCGAAAGTCAGCAGCAGCTCACCATTTTCGTTCAGCTCATTGCGCCCGTACTCGCCCATGGTTCCTTCGTTTTCCCCGGCTATCCCTCCTCCGGTCTGGGCTTTGGCATCCATGAGCACGAAACGACACTCCTTAGTAGGAATACGCCGCACGAGATTGTCAAGTTGTTCCCAGAACATGCGTTTACTGTCGGCGGTGGCGACTTCTGTTGGGGCATACGCAGCAACGAAGTTCACCGCTCCGCGGTGGCCCGTCATCTCAAACCTCATAGCCATGAGGCGCTCGTCAACGTACTCCNATTCCGACGCCATGCGTACCACCCTTGTCCGTGCCACAGGTGAACACCCGAAAACCGGATGCTGCGAACTCCGTTCGCCCTGGTCTCCTGACCTCCTGCAGACCGACAAACGAAATGTCCTGTTTCGCTGCCTCGTGTAGTACGCTGTCGGCTCTCCCATAGCCGTTGGCCCCGTTCACGGCCAGTGTACGCACATTGTAGGTTGCTACCCTAACAAGTTAACCCTGCCGCCTCTCCCGGGTGGTACGTGCTGCATCCCTAATCAGCCTACGCACCTTCCGGCCCCTCCTCCTCTTGTTCCTTCCTTTTTTAATTTTGTTTTTTTCTGATTGCCCTGCGGATCCTCGGGTTAATGTAAGAGTCAACCCGGTGCTTGCCTTTCCCAGCGAGGTGTCTTCCTGTCCCGGAGCGGCGTGGCTCTCCAGCTCTGGACCCTTTCCGTCCCCCTGTTGGGTGCTTACCCACACGGTGTGCGATCATCCCGCCACCCTCTCCGTGCTCTCCACCGCTGCCTTGCCCCGGCGTCCAAACCGGGGCATTTGGGTTCAAACCCATCGGCAGCTGTCTCCAAGTTGGCTTTCGCGACCTACCTCGATCTCGTGACCGCGGTAACTCCCGACCGCCAAACTCAGGATCCTCTCCTAAACGGTGCTAGGGACCGTATATCCGTCATTGTTGGGTGGTTTTTCGAGGGTTAACTGCACTTGCGGGCCTCGGCCTCCCCCGGGGAGGGGAGGAGGGGGGGAGGCGGAGAGTAATGGCAAGGTACTATTCTTCACTCTGGCCTATTCCGACAATTGAAGTGACGTTCAGGAAAGTGTTGCTTCAGAACCACTTCGACGGTGGACAAGAGGTACTGCAGACCCGCTCATATACTTTAGCTACATAAACCGAACCCCAGCAATGCTCGGGCTCTGAGACTGTGCACCTTCCCCGATCGGTGTTGCCAACTTCACGCCGTCGAAGCTTCCGTCGCGATCCCTACAAGAGGAACGCGGCAGGTGACTCCTCAATGCCCACACGCACGGGCAGTTTGGACTGCGCGGGGGGCTCCCGCCTGAGGGACCTGGGGGGAGAGTGGACGACCGGTCCCATGCAAGGATGGGTATTTCGGCTGACCCAGGTGAGTAAAATTTCATCCTGTGTAGATGAAGACATCGTGGCAATCAATGTTGGACAAGTTGTCGCGTTCCTATATTCGCGTTTCATATCGATGGGTCAGCGAATCATGCCCCCGCATATATTGTACGGACCCTTACGTTCATTCGTTGTTGGATAAATTGATGATGCCCCCGCGTCCCCACTCTCTGCTTATCCATGCGGTCCTGCGCTCGGTGACAGATAGTCCTACTAGCATTGGTGCTGCTCCAAATATTTGTTGCGCTTCAGCCGGCCCGTCACTACTGGCGCTACATCCACGACCTGTCCTCGACAACGTCGTTCGGGGGATACCCCAAGCAACCGTGGATCTACGTAGATCTGCCTGTCTTCGGAGGAGGAGCAGAAGGCGAGCGAGGACACTCTCACATGCCACACCTCGAAAACCACCTCCTCGCGGAAAATAAAGAACCATTCATTTGTCGTCGCCTGCGTCAGATTCTCCACCACCAGTGAATGACGGGACTTGGTAGGAAACCGTTGTTGTTGCAGTTGTTGTTGTCTTCACACTAAAAACCGTTCCGATCTCTCTACCTAATAATCCGTGCCGTGAATGATATCGTGCCTTATCCATGCATATATTGAACATGTTGCTACCCGACAGGATCGTCTTCCAAGGTGCGGGCCCTTGGTCTTCTTGGAGCGCTTTCGCCCATCATATGGTTCACGTGTTTCACCGCGATCGTGATTGTGACGAAGATCGTGCTGGGCGCGCATCCTCAAGAGCGCGTGCCCTTGGGCACGCGCGCGTACCTCTCTTGGTGGTACATGAACGCCATGCTCAACGTCTGGGAGTGCGTCGGTGGAACGTGTTTGCTAGACACGAAGATGATAATCTTCATTTACCGCTGCATGGGCGCAAAGGTGAGAGACCCTCGAAGCCAGTACGGCTCTCATCTTCACAGCGTTCTCACCCGCGTGCAGACCAACTCTTGGTTGGGAGCAGGCACTCATAAATCTTGCGGCACCCTTTGGCTACGTGACATTGTGGGGACGATCCGCGCGCCGCGCGTGCACACTCCGAGGTATAGCCATGGCGTATGGAAACTTAAGAGAAACGCCGACGCTATCGATATAGCTCGACGAGGTGATCACCAATATCGCTGTTTCAGTTCTATGTCCATCCAAAACGAATTGCACGAAACGTGACTGGATAAAAATGTTGTGCATGGACCATGCATGCCCATACATCATGGGGGCATGTTGAGAAGCATATGTCTACTGGACTACCAGTCAGCGCTGACGGGTAGCGGTCATCGTGCAGCGCAACAGGGCCATCCGCTCGCCGTGCGTCCATACTCCAAGCCTTAGCCCTGACACACGGACACGCAATCATCACGCCTGCAGATTGCGTGGACGGCCAGCATCAGCGTCTTCATTCGCGACTTCGATTCGGTGGACGTCCAGGAAGGGGCACAGGTGGGCGGCACCCTGTACGTGCGCCGGTTTGAGGCTTCTTACATGGATGTCGCGCCCATCATGATTGGCAAAGGCGCCGACATTGGGACCGGTTCCGTGGTGTACGGGGGCGCAAGCGTCGGGGACCATTGGTGAGCGTTAAGAGGACGACGACCACTAGACTACTAGTCAGCGTTGACTTGTGGAGTCTAGTGGTGCGAAGAGGATCGCGTTCCACACCTCGCGACTTTAACGACAACAAAAACTGCAGAAGAACTTGATCCAGCTGGCAGAAATTGGCTTTTCCACGCGAATGAGTGCGATTAACAATACTCCTGTGCCCCCCCGAGCATAGGCGCGTCAACCTGGTGAATGTTGACTTGAGCTGCCCTTCATGGCGCGTGCTCACACGCATGGAGTGCAGGTGATATCATCGAAACGATGAAAAGGCCTTCTTGAATCCTAGAAGCTCGAGCGGTGGACGCGTCTACTTGTTGGGAGGAGCCACTGAATGCTCGCCTTCTCGGACCCGGGCGCCGATGTGCGACCAGCTTGTCGGGGCGCACTCAACGCCGCTGCAGCAGCAAAGGGTTTCGACGAGACCCTTTGGTGCTGGCGCACTCGGACATCGATATCCAAACGTATTGCCAGAATTTCGGATAAATTCCATCTCTTGTATCTGACATGTTCTCCTGCCGCTTTTGCTGTTTTTGACCGCGTCTGTCTGGTGTGCTTGACATCTTACGTGGGGTCTCCGATCCAGTGTCGTCGAGCCCCTTACGGTCATCCCGCCGCTTTCGAAGCTTGCGGTGAGTGAAGCGACCCACAGTCGATTTTCTCGCGTTTTATTGGTGTTTTGGAAAACGCGTTCTGGTTCAACTCAACGTACTCAAGGGAAGAAAGTTCGATATTTATTGTCTTTTGGAAAAGATATATACAAGCACGGAGTCGTGGTTCTACAGTAGATGTCCTCGGTGTGATATTGAGAGCAAAGAATCATAGACCTTCCCAGGATCGCCTGCATGAGTGGTTCCGGATCTACCGCAACAATTGAGCACTGAGAAGCATGAAACAATGACCGGCCAGTTGAGATGGTACTCGAATAAAAACAACGACCAACGCCAGCCAGTGTTCGCACGTCAGGACCGGTAAAATGATCTATGCGCGTGCGGCATCCCTTAGTATACTTCTCTGTTTAGCAGTGGAAATTTTCCCGCCGACGTTCGTCTCTTCCGCTGTGCCTGCAATCAGCCACACTCCAGTTGGGAAGGTCACCCTGCAAAGGAAACAAAGCAGGGGGGCCCAGCCAATGATGGCGTGGTGCTGGATGTCCCTGGCCCATGTGCCGCTATACCCTGTCTCATAGAGGTAAGCTAAGTGTCAACAATTGGTCAATCTGTGCAAGGTTGTGCGTTGAAAAAACGATGTGTGCAAACAATTGGGTCCTTGTCCATCGAGGTGTCAGTAGGCGATATTGCAGATTACACTCAAGCGTGTGAGCGAGAAGTGTGCCAGGGAATCCACGGGCGGATTTCGTCCGGGCAAAAACGTCACAACATGGAGATTATGCTTCATCGTGGCAACAAAACGCTCGAATATGATCTGCCACCTTTTCGTTTCCACAGCGGCGAGCTCCAACAGTAGCATCAGCCCCTAGGACATAATGTGTGGTGGACGTCTGTGATCGTCGCTATCAAGCTCCTTTCGCCGCAGGGCAACCCTTGCCACGTACCGTACATGACTTGTGTCATGCCTTGCGCTTGCCGTGAAAGCTAACAAGACACGTCCCCTCTTTCCCCGGCGTGAGGACCAGTTGATGAAGCAAATCGCGATTCTATGCACCCTGGTTGCGACGACGGCCATGACCTACACGCCGACCATCCTATACGAGTCTACCGGCCTATCGGAGAACTTCCGTTACGCTCTTCTCGTGGAGATTGTCTTTCTTGTGGCCGGAGTGCCGAGCCAGCTCGCCCTCTACACTGTTCTTCTTAAGTGGGTTCTCGCAGGTACGTGGGGGCGCCTTCAGGAGTGCCGCTATGTACCATCCATTTTCGCTTGAACTACTGTAGAGCGTTCACATACTGAGCACGGTTCACAATACGAAATACTTTTGCATATTCCATCGTTGAAGCGAGATTTCACCGGCTTGGCAGCGGTCAACCGGGACCACGTAACGAGCGGCACAGCCGAGTCCCCCCAACGGTCGCGGTAGGGTCCACGGCACAGAGTCAAAACCCACAGGGAATAAACGATGTTGTGGGTATCCTTGATGGTTGGTACATTGTTGGGGAAAGCTCAGGATTGACAGTAAGAGCGCCCTAACCCAAACCCTAACCCTCACCTTATCCCTTCCTGTGGTGACAAGGAAACGCGGAGGATTTATCATTTCGTGCTCGCAGATACGCCTCGACGAAGCGTGGAGAGTATCATGGTTTATACATTCGGGTTCGGTTTAGGGTTCGGTTTAGGGTTTGGGTTAGAGAGGCAAGGTAGGCACAAACGCATAGACGAGGTGTGGAGAGTATTGTTATACTTTCGACTTTGGTTAGGGTTAGAGTTAGCGTCTGGGTAACGGTAGGTATCCTTACCTGGCCGAGACTTGAAGAGTACTGTGTTTTCTTCCATATCGTCCTGCGAAGCCTTCTCGGATTGTTTCGTACGTTTGGGGGCTACACCCCGCCAGCGGTACACGACACGGTGGTTTGATTCTTGGGCGTGCAACGGGGCGTGCTTTCGTTGTTTCCGCGCCAGCCTGCCGAAGACAACAAACGAGCAAACGGCCCCTTCGACACGGCACTGACACTTACGCATATGGTGAATTCCTTGTTGTTCGCTACAACCAAGGTACGAAACGTACGTGCTTACGGCGGAATTCCTTGTTTGTTCGCTGCCGTGAATGCTGGCAGGTCGGGTGACGGAGGGTTCTTATCTGCCGACCGTCTTCCAGACCTGGCGGAGATGGTACCTCAGCAGGCTTAGCGCGCTTGTGTTCGCCTTCTTCAACGTCTTCAACCAGTGAGTCCAATCGTTCGGAGATCGCCCGAGGTGGTAGACGCCTCCCCATGTCCGAGTAAGACGCACTCTCTCGGTTCATTTGGAGACGATCACACAGGTAGCCTAACAACGGTCAGCTATTGGTTGTGAATGCAATGGAATTGGCGGCCGCATGCGTGAAATGCATCACTCGCACAAGTCTAACGATGAAAGCGTCTGGTTGAAGACAGACTTCGGCGAACCACAAAAGGTGTCGGATGCTCTTCTCACAGTCTTCCAGGTGCAGCAGGAACTGTTCACAATACTCCTCCGATGCACACCTAGCCCGAACCTGGCGTTGACGGCGCAATCTAATCACCAAAGCACGTGCCTCCAACTTGCGTCCCCAAACCTGAAAACAATGAACTACCCAAGAACAAAACGCACACAACAATATTCTTTTTCACGGGGCATGACCAACATCACCTCATGATAATATCTTTTTTCTGGCACCTGGGCACTTGATTGCTGGGACCGTTCTGTCCCCGTGCGACTTCGTCCCCACCCTGGCCCGCGGTTTGGACGACAGATGTCCGAGATACGAGTGGTGGGCGGCCGCCCTTGGCATGAAAGTGGGGCGTGGTTCTGTGATCTTGCTGGAAGGGTACAACCCGGAGGACGCACACCTGATTGAGGTGGGGCCTGAATGAAGGACGAGCTCCTAGTGAAAGCCCTCGGTGACCTAATACCCCAAAACAGTAAAACTATACGTTCATTTGCAGCGCGCGCCCACGGAGACGTGCGACAGAATATCGCTCATCGGACACCGCGTGATCTGTGTGCTGTTCAGGGGTGTTGCTGAGGGGGAGGCAGGATATCTTGGCGTATGGTATCCGCCGTGCTTCGATCGATGTACGATTGCGACACGGTAGGCTATGGACCCCCTCCGCCCTTCCCAAACGCCTGTCTTCTATGTATACTGAAACCACGCCTTACGTACCTGCCGCACACATACATGATTTCCAGATCGGCAGCGGAGCACACGCCGGCTACCCGATTCTCTCCGTCGACCGGCCAACCGGACGTGGCACCGAACGCGAGAAGAAGGCAAAAGCGATCAGGTCGAAGGCATTGCTTGGGTTTGGAGCACATCTCGGCGCCAGCTCTACCGTCGGTAACGGTGCAATGGTGAGTCTAGTTACCTTCGTCCGGTTTGGTCACGGCTGGCATGCTCGCCTTGTTGACACGGCGCCCTTGTCGTGGACGACGACTTGGTCGAAACTGCCCCCATACAAACAGTTACAGTGGCTTCGCACGTGAGCTTTTTGCCTATGTGCATCATCGATTTGCAGTCAATTCATAGGCGTGTGGTAGGCCTCCCATACGAGTAGGTCCTCTCGATACGGTAAGTCAAGCGTTGGTAGTCCGCTTGGGTGAACATCCATTGATTGCTCGCGTTGTCCACGTGCATCACCTATGCTCGGCCGTTGATTTCGTGACCACGTTCTCTGTGGCAGATTGGTGGGTACTCCGTGCTAAGGCCTGGAGAACATCTCGCCGACGGGTCGGTGATAACGTGCGACCAGCAGACTGCCTTCCAACCTGGCGGCACTACCTCTACCTCCCCCGCTCGAAGGGATGGCTACAACAGTGAGTCGTGAAAGTAGTGCAAGCAGTGTTGACGGCGCTCTCACACGCAGATAAGGTTTGGAAGAGGTTAGTCGAGGACACTACGGAGCACACTTGCACAGCACACGACAAAGCTCCCTCAGACAATATAACGGTTAGAGATACTGCAGTTGGTGCCGGCGATTAAGTAGCAAACCTGTAACAAAAAATGGCTCGAATTTTCTCGATAAACAAGAAAAATCGAATAAAAACACAACTCAGCCGTGGATCCACGCAAAACTCAATATAATACTCCGTAGTGACCTATGCTCGACGGCGGTGGCGATACAAGGAGTTGTGCCTCGATTTCAAATTGGCGTTTCTCAAACACGGGCGCTAACTGTAAGGCTGCTCCAAGGATCTTGTTTTTCTTGACCCGAAGATGCTTCCTTACCACAGGCACGAACCGTAAGGCTGCATCTTTTTCTCGACCCGACGATGCGTTCTTACCACGAGCCCCGCTTTTTCTGTGCTGCGCCGCTGAAGACGCCGGCGAAGCTGTCAAGGAAAACCTGATTGACGCAGCGTGCACCCTCGGAGCTTGCTCCCTCAACACCCTGGCCTTGGTGGCATCTTTTGAGACGACGACTTCTTTGGCATCTTTGTGGTCCAACGGCGATGGCTTTGACACCAGGATCGTCGTGCTTTCGACGGTAGCCTTGGTCGTGTGGGCGTTGGCCTCGGCTGTGCTTCTTGCTGTGTTCAAGCGGGTACTTGCCGGAGACTTCCGCAGGAAGCCAACCGAAGGTGTGCAGTAAGGGTCTTAGGTCCTCATCATTAGAGCGGGCTGCCTCACCAACGGGTATAGTCTACAAGACAAGAAGTGGAGAATCCCCACCCGCGTGCTCTCAGTGAAACGCGGGTGGCCTAATCGTCTCATCTGCCATTTGTGGCGCGCTATCGGAGATGGCAGGACAAGCTCAACTGTGGCAGATGTTCGGAAGACAGTAAATGCATTCCGTGACCATTTATTCGTCGCCCCCTCCGCATTGGTCCGCAATCTCGCGCAGGCCAGCGAAAGGAAATCTCCGCCCAAATTGGCCCGCGTACAACAGACGTCGAGAAAGGCCAGCGGCGGAAGCCGAACAAGCTCACGGCTTCGCAGCTCATGCGGTGGCGGTGGATGCAGCGCTTGTTGTACTTCTCCATGTTCGAGCCGTACATCGTCAACACCATCTTGAGAGGAACGTGGCTCCTCAACGTCTGGCTAAGGCTCATGGGTGCAGACGTTTCTATGGGTGCCCTGATTCTAGGCAAAGTGTCTGATCACGGCATGGTGAAGGTACGACAACCGTTGGTTGCTTTGGGCACAGAGGTCAGTGACGTCAACACTACACTGATGTGCCTCATAGTAACTTGAGTGCTGTCACACACAGCAGTAAAACCTCATCATCCATGGCCAAAATTTGTCAAGCTTGCAGTATCGCTTTGTTGTCAGCCAACGACCCTTGCATTCGCCCCTTGCATTCTGCGCCCTTCCTCATATACCGGCTCTCACGCGACGCAGGTTTGCAAGGGATCCGTTGTTGCTGGGTTTATCTATGGGCACTGCGTTAGCTTTGTGGACGGAGTCTGGTCAATGGAAATGGCGCCTGCATGTGTAGGTAGGTATGCCGGCGCAGTTTAACCGGTGTGTAAAACCCATTGTGTTCAGACACATATGATAATCCTTTCACTTCATCCACTGCGCATACCCCCACCCCGACCCCCATCCCCACTTCCTTTATCACAATACTGTACATTCTGCACGCACACACAAAAATTGCTTCGGGGGGGGGAGCTCGTACGGGTAGGCTACAACACTGCAAACCGTCGTCGTAAAAGGGAATGGAACACCTTTGAGGACAAAACGCTTCCGAGACTGGGTTAACCCTGAAGGCGTTGTCTTCACGGTCACTTTTTCGTTCATCCTGTTAGAGTGTGAACCGGCTTCAGTCCTCCGCGTGCCACATCAACTGTGTTGTTGTTGGAACCCAACCCAACGAAATCTCTACCCGTAGACAATGTGAAAACATGTTGAGCGCCCACAAGGGGCTTGCACTAATGGTTGCTGGGCGACATGTCGCCACGGTCCCACCGTGATGAAAATTTGGCCCTCACTACATGGATCAGCGTGGCCGACCTGGAAATCGGTTGTTTTTTCTCTTCGAGATGAAGATTCCTGTGGAATAAGTGTGTTGCACCACGCATGATCTGGCGAGCGACTACTCCTGACCGCAAACAACCGCCGGACAAAAACAAAGCAAACGCGGACTCTCATGGGGTCTGGCAACCGCGTACACACATCTCCCTTGCCCTCGCCACGTGCTTGAACACGCGGCACACGATCGTGTCGTTCTCCAGGTGAAGGTGCCGTTGTGCACGCCCACGCAGGGACCTTTTGCACGGACATGCGGAGTGGATCAACATTGACCGCCGCGAGCGCCACCCTTAGCGGACAGGTTTTGGAAGCCGGGCAAGTGTTCGGGGGCCGGCCTCCTCAGAAGCTAGCTGGAAGCTGGGTGCTGTGACGTGACGCATTGGGTTGTGACCCGTGTTCTGGTGACTACTGCTATATTCTAGTCAGTGTCACGCGAGAGAGGATGTTCTGTAGTGCATCAGGCCATAGCAAAGGCAGCGAGATTCTTTGCCTTGGAAGGTGAACGCTAGAGCCTCGGGCTGCTATGGGGCGTGGGACAACAACAAGCCTTCCAGACAGTTTCTCCGGACACTTGTCTCCAGTAGATACACGATCATCGATGGTGTTTTCGCGCGTCACGGTGATTCTAGATCTGGCCCAACTGGCCATTACAATTTTTTTTTTTTTTGCCTTCCGACAATTGAAGATGTACCTCAGAAAACTTTCACTTAATGTCTCATGCTCTACATGAATATTAAACCAATACGAAGTACAACAACATATGTAGGACTTATTTCTACTGTCACTTACATCGCAAAAATATCTCCTCTTCAATTTGAAATAAAACCAATGACAATCCTCATGGTATCCTACATGCGTTCGTTCGTAAGCTTGCTAAAATACTACTACTGCGTTGGTGTCCTCTTGTAAAAGCTGATATCCAACAAATGCTTTGATCCATCCTACATCTCCGTGTTGGAAAAGCCCATTCTTCTCCGTTCATGATAACATCGTACCCTATTGTACGCAAATCTGTCACATCTACTCTCAAAGAAGACGCCAACTTCAAACGAAAACGCGTTCTACGATGCGTCTACACTACATCTATCTCCATATCATCATTGGCATCTGAGAAGGTTAGGGACGAATTGATTTTCGAGTTCATCGTTGCTGGGACAGGAATTGTTGTCTTCCACAAACGATCTTTTGGGGGGCAACAAGCACTAGGCTGGACCAGGTAGCGTATGCCAGGTACATGTATCAATAGCCCAATGCTTTCGGTTCGTGCACAATACACCATAAAAACATTGAGGTTGACCAGATACACAGCGCGCTTTTCGGTATTTCGTCAACCTTCGGGAGCTTCACGCTACGAAGACGTTTGGCAGTTCTGCGGACGAGCATGACGCGATCACTTAAACTTCCGCTTTTCGCCAACACATGGGTGAGGCTGGTAATGTCGTGAAACCCCCGGCCCTTCCCCCCCCCCCGGTAACGGTTTCGTTCAAGGCACGACGGCAGGCGTTTGTTTTTGGAGAGGGCACGTCATGCTAGATTACAGACAGGGTAAGGCTCACACATTCATTCACGAAAAGGAGTATCCCTCGAAGTACCCAACAGCAAAAACAATTGCCTCGATAAGAAATAGGATCATGCGATACCCCCACGACATAAGAAACAAGGGGTAGCTGGGGGAGCGCGTCCAAGAAGAAACACCCCACCGTGCTCCTTCCGTGCTCCAACCCCCTTGTAGTCTACCTAAACAGCTCTTCTTGCATTTCTTTGGATTTGTCTATTTACGCCACCGGTGGCGCAATTTCTTATATGCGCCACCGCTCTTATCTCCGCCCACAGAGCTTCAATTGGCACAAACTAAAAATTGTGGTGTAGCTATGACCCATAGCAATCATACAAGCCAACTTGAAAAAGTTATGCTCGAAAAAGGGGGCTCAGCGGCATCAAAAGGCGGGCACCAACCACATATTCCACCGTAACTCCGTGGCCAAAGCTCCAATCGACGTCAAACAAATTGCGCTGGTCGACGGACGTCCGTAGCCATCGTTCAAGCCATCTGGGACGTCCATCCGACCAGTAGATGCCGAGATATGCCCTCCCACGGGGGTACAGTGCCACCGTAGGGCGGTGGCGCATATAAGCATCTACTGGTCGGATGGACGTCCCAGATGGCTTGAACGATGGCTATGGACGTCCGTCGACCAGCGCAATTTGTTTGACGTCGATTGGGGCTTTGGCCACGGAGTTGCGTAAATAGACAAATCCGCGCAATTTGTTTGACGTCGATTGGAGCTTTGGCCACGGAGTTACGGTGGAATATGTGGTTGGTGCCCGCCTTTTGATGCCGCTGAGCCCCCTTTTTCGAGCATAACTTTCCAACGACCGAATGGATTTTGCTTCAAGTTGGCTTGTATGATTGCTATGGGTCATAGCTACACCACAATTTTTAGTTTGTGCCAATTGAAGCTCTGTGAGCGGAGATAAGAGCGGTGGCGCATATAAGAAATTGCGCCACCGGTGGCGTAAATAGACAAATCCATTTTCTTTTCGTCAGGGGAAAGACTAGTCTAGTCTACATTTTATTTCACAACGCCCCGCGCGCCCCAGCGCAATCCAGCGCCGCCAATGTTCAGGCTCCACTACTCACTGCTGATGCGGTTGTACTACTGTACTACTGTAGTACTGTAGTACTGTAGTACTACTGTACCGCGCCGAGCTTTCAGACATGCTGTGCAGATGCTTGGTGTGTGTAATGTTAGCCCCCGCAATAAGAAACTGAGAATGAATATTGTCAGCAGGATGCGGCAAAAGACCCAGATAAAATGGACGACTGCGGCTTGTCCTTGTTTGCGGCCTACGCCACTTATTTGTCGGGTGAGACTGTTTTGGTGATGTGTTAACTTCACGAGAGGTCGACGACCGTCCTTCACGCGGTCGAAAGAGGGAGTGCTCAAAGAGCAGCCCCATGAATCATCGCGTGCCCCCTACCAAAACGGTAATCTTACCAGTCTGCGTTACACAAAATCATCCAGCACATGTATCCAACACCAATGTTCGCAGACCCACGAACAGTCCTTCGGCCCAAAATATATGAAATAAGGCTCGACCCGACTTAACTCCAGCGGGCCCTATCTATAGTCTACATCAAGGCGGTCGGCTGCGGGAGCAATAGACTACATATCTACGGAACAACCGCTTCACAGTCAACACATCACAGCTCTACAGAACAACCACTCGGTGATGGCAGGTACACAACACGAGCGAGTGGATATGGGTGTTTCCACGACGTCATCACAATGCGTACGGAGAAGCTCATAAATCGCGTCCGCCTGTCGTAGAAGGAGGCGCCCAGAGAACACGTGAAACCACCCGCGGGTCGGACGAACGGCGGAATTGCAACCCGAGAATGTTCCTTGGGACGTTCTTTGCTTCAAGAGAAGGCGCGGTAGGGGGTGGACAGTCCACAGCAGTCGACAGCAGTCACTGCTGAGTAGTTCCAACCCCCACCGCTGTGCGCATTCGAGAACGACAAGTTCCAGCTCCACCGTGCACCCAGCGTGCGTCCACCGTGCCTGCCAATGGTGAGTGTGGGAGTGTGGGACGACCAACGCGGGAAGACCTCCGAATTCCGTATGCATACCTCGCCAACGTTTGGCGGAGTCTTTCAGAAACCTTGGGTCGCGCGAGCGCAGCTACCATGTAGCACGTGGGGCGCAGTCAACGATTTAGCGAGACAGGGTTAGCGCTGGAGCCCCCTGAGAAGTTCCGCGCGTGGCCTTGGCAACCTGGCTTGTTGCATGCCTCGGCACCCTTTTTTCGACCCGAACCCGTTTCCTTGTTTTCCCATTTCCACCGACTTCGTTTCATATTTGCCGCAAAGCAGGTGCTCGACATGTTTATCTAGTCTACAATCCCTTCTGTTCTCGTGTTGGGCTGGCTGCACCTCGTATTCGCATGATATGACACATTGCAAACTCAGCGTCCCGGAATAAAGTGTGATTCCGGCTGTTTACATGTCCTCATGATTTCATCAGGATAGAGCCAAATATCTGAACGGTTTGCATACTCCCGGTCCTGGTGTTCATACAAAAATGTCATAGCCTGGTTTGGTGTGTTGTTGTTTGTGTAATGGTTTTGGAGTAAGACAAAGTGGCATCGTAACTCGCTTCGCTTGCAGACACACTTCACGGGGTTCCGGACGCGGTGCAGTGTGCGGTTACAGTGCCGTGTGACTCGCTTCGCTCGAAGGCACTTGGCGAGGTTTCGGGCGCGGTGCAGGGTGCGGTCACAGTGTTGTGTGACTCGCTTCGCTCGAAGGCAGGTTCCGAGCGTCGTGCAGTGTGCGTCACAGGAGTGCCGTGTTGCTCGCATGTACTCAAAGGCAGTTTGTCCGCAGCAGCGTCATGTTCCCCCTTTCGAGGAGTTCCTTATTATGTGCTTCGTCACACACCGGTGTGCCTCTCCTCTCCTTCTATTGCACAAGGTGAATAATTGTTCGACCGTTCAGCGAGTGCATACTCCCCCTCGACACGTGTTGCCCCACCTAAACCGTTNTCGGTGTGCCTCTCCTGTCCTTCTATTGCACAAGGTGAATAATTGTTCGACCGTTCAGCGAGTGCATACTCCCCCTCGACACGTGTTGCCCCACCTAAACCGTTGTACAGAACTCCAGGCCACACACCCGCCCACCCGTCTGGGGCGTAGTATGACCGTCTTTCGTCCCACAGCGTAGCGTACGCAACTCCCCTACCCCTCACGTTAACCGTAACAGTGGCCGGTGCCTTTTGTCGCATGTCGGCTAGAGCGTTGATGGCATCGATGGGCGGTTGGAACGCCTCCTTGAGGAACTCTCTTGCTAACTCTCTGTCCTGCAAGACATCGTCTGGTAACACGAGGAACAGGCCGTCTAGAGTTTTCCCCCTGGACACGGCGGTATACCCC